AATATTTTTTTACCCTACTTAAAAATAAAAGTAAAAATTTTAATAAATTTTTTTAAGATAATAATAAACTCACAAAAAAAAAAAAAACCCCCAACCATCATTCTAAGATTCATGAAATAATTAATAAATTATCACAAAATCCCAAAATCCTGGTCTTGATTTGATATAATTGATTTCAAAATCAAATCCACTAAGTAATATAGCAATGATACCTGCCTAGGCCTGCACGCCCTTGTATGAGCTGTTTTACGCCCTACTTTTCTTCTCCTCCCAAAAAGGGATCCAAGGGAGGAAAAAAGAAGAAAAAGCAAGCACCAAAAGCAAATCAAAGTTTTGCACTGTGTTAAAGAAAAGAAGCTTTTACTAGCTTAGCTTATGCCAGTAATTATCCCACTCCCGACGTATACTCACTTTACCACTCTTTTATGTCCCCACCTCAGCTCCGTTTTTCAAGTATTCTTTTGATAAAAATCTTGTCTGGTGACCCTCTTGTTTCTCCTTCTTGGGTACTCATATTTTCCATCCAAATATGATGAAAATAGGTGGTGTTCTTGTTTGTCTTTTGATTGTTTCCATGGATGTTGGAGCAGGAATTCTTGGCATCCAAGCAGAAGTTGCACAGAACAAGGTGAAAAGTTAAGTGAGAAAAATGCATTTGATCAAATGGGTTTTCAGTGCATTAACTTTTACTCCGTTTTTCCTTCTCTTTACAGGTTAATCAGTTGAGGCTCTGGATATTTGAATGTAGACAACCAAGCCGTGATGCTTTCAAGCTGGGGTTAGGTGCAGCAGCTCTTCTGGTTCTAGCCCATGTTATTTCTAACTTACTTGGCGGTTGTATGTGCGTCTGTTCCCAAGAGGAGTTCCAGAAATCTTCACCTAACAGGCAACTATCTGTGGCGTGTTTCATTTTCTCTTGGTACGTTGCCTAATTTTAAAATTAAGTATATGAATCCTAATTTTTTCCCTTTTTTTTTCTTGGATAATAAATTATGTAACAGAGAGAAATTTTTATTTCTCAAATCTCTCTCATTTCCGATCTCAAAATGATGGTTTATATAATATCTCATAAATCTTATATAAATTCATACGTTTGAAATAGGCAAGTTTTGACTTACTACTTGGCTACTAAAAATAAATACCTTATTCGTCTTAAAATAATAAATTTTTTAAGAAAAATAAGAGTAGCTTTTTATATTTTAATAAGATAAATATTTATTTTATTTTAATACTGTAATTATTTTTTAATTTTAATTATTATTCTTATTACGAAATTTTTATAAATTTTTTTAAAGATGAAATAAGTAAAGCAAAAATTATTCCATATTCTTAATATGAAAATTAAAGTGAAAAACATATATTATTCTTAAACAGTGGAAGTACAAGTGATAAAGGAGAGTATATATATATACACAAACTTTGTTTTTAACGTTAAGTTTAGGGTTGAAATCATATAATAATTAAGTACGATCTTCTTTTCCTAATTATCAAATCCAGCATTGCATAAGATATGGTTTTGTTATAATAATAATAATAATAATAATAATAATATATGACTTAATATTATTTAATAAATCTTATAATCAATTCATTGTTGTAGAGAAATAAATATTTATCTTTCTAAAAAGTAAAAATAAAAATAGAAAAGGATAATTAATTTAGAATAAATTTTGAATAAAAAAATCACAATCGTTAGTGTTGATCATGAGGATATGTGTATTAACGATTAAGCAATCTCTCAAGCTTGGAAATTAATTTCTTGGTGATTAAAGGCGTAATCATGTAGGGTTTGCTTTGTTTGATCAGGGTAGTATTAGCCATTGGATTATCATTGCTGGGGATTGGTATATTATCAAATAACAAATCAAGAGCATCCTGTGGCTTCACACACCACCATTTCCTGTCCATTGGAGGCATTGCCTGCTTTGTTCATGCTCTCTTCTGCGTTGCCTATTATGTTTCTGCCACTGCTGCTAACGAAGAAAAGTAACATCGTTTTTTCAAACTTTACTATCTAATCTTTAATATTTCTTTTAGGCTCCAATGTGACCCTTTTCTCGGGTTCAGATTAAAAATAGATGTAACGATATGTTTGGATGACATTATTACGCTCTCCATCTAATACTGCTCTTCTTTTGTCTATTAGGCAAAGGGAAATTATAATTAAAATATTATGTCATATTATAAATTTATGATATATTTTA